AAGGTTCAGTGAAGAGACTGTCTCATGAAGGAAGACACTTGACCTCCACACCTTTGAATACCACACACATACACACAAACACACACACACACACACACACACACACACACACAGTTATTTTTTGCTTGTCAGATTGATAGGAGCAAAATGTTTAGTAAGTATCAAAGCCAAGACTGAGAGAAAATTGTCTATTGCTAATGAGAATACAGATTGGTACACTCTTGACAGGCAATTTAAACAATGTCTTCATCATTCAGCATCAATTCTATTTTTGGACTTTGTCTAAGAGGGAAATATAGACAGTCATTTGTGATGTCTCTATTACTCATTGGTGTCTATGCAGTTATGAAACAGAATAAGGCTGTTTTGTATGTACTGGAATGCAGCACTCTTCAAGGTGTTTTGTTACACGAAGTGAAAAAAAAGGTTCAAAGCAATATTTCTGTGTGTGCATGCATGCGTATGTTTAAATATAATTGAAATATTTATTTGCTTATTTACTGCTTTCAGATCATTATGGAAATACAGGAAAACTTCATTTTTGTTTTCTATAGGGAGAGACATTTGTTGTATAAGGGAAGGGATGGTGGTGGAGATACCCTTTGTAGTAACTACATTTTGAACCATGGCTCCTGCTTAAATTTAAATATAATGTTTTAGGGCTGTCAAGATGCTTTAGTGGGCAAATGCACCTTCCACCAAGTCTGATGGCCTGAGTTCAATCCCTGGACAGCAAGGACTGGCCTCCACACTCCTGTGTCATGCGCATGCTCACAGAGATATAATTTTTAAAAAAGTAGTGATGAAATTGAATATTTTACTGAATAAGAAGGCGATAACATACAGGTTTGAGTGAGCCTTTAAAAAGATAAGTAAAACAATTTGTATTGCGTGAATCTCATCTTAACAGCACCAGAGAAAATGATGATCAGGTCAGAGCTACCAGATTCTCTTTCCTTCAGTCCCAAGCTCTTGGGGGGTGGGAGGGGCTAACTCCATGGTGAGCCTGTGAACTGTGGACTATTTCCCCACACCCACCATTCAAGGCACCCGTATTTAGCATTTTCCAATATCCGTGGTGTAAATATTCCCACCGCTGAACATGGACTTGGGCTGGGAGGCCTGGGGCTAACTCTTGTGATCGAGTGTAAACCAGCCACAGCACAGCCAGCTGCTCAGTTAGGGAAAACCACGCTCTTCAGAAATATCCCGAAGGGCTAGAGATGGTACCCACCCCATCAGCTCCATGATACTATACAGTCACCTCAGCATTATAAATTGGAAATTCATCTTGTCCTCTGCTTTGGGATTTTTCCTTTTAGACATTGACTTACAGAACAGAAAAAAAAAATTGTGAGGCTGGTGTTGGCCATTTACATGAAAAGAAACTCTTTTGCTGCAGCTGTACGCGTGGCTGCTCTGTTGGGTCTAGGGCAGGGCAGAGGACCGCAATGACAGCAGAATATACGGTCCTCACTTCAAAACACGCCTGCGTTTGGTTAACGTCTTCTTGAATGTTGTGTGTGGTTAGCATGGGTCAGGGACCACAGCCATTCTCATGACCGTCGGGAAATGAAGTTACCCAATTTGCTGATTTCACTGTTTCCTGGTCTCCTCCTCCTCTTCCTTCTTTTGAGGATCATTCAAATGAGAGAAGGGGCTGGAGGTAGCTCAGTGATAAAGCACTTGCCTGGCTTGGTGTGTGCAAAGCCCCAAGTTTGACCCCCTGCACCATAAAATAAAGAAATAAATTTGAAGGCACACACACACAGAGATAGAGAGAGAGGGAGAGAGAGAGAGACAGAGTGGTGATGGGCAATCAAATAGGAATTAAGCTCTTTTTTTGAGCCTCTGCTTTTAACTGTTTAGTTAACCCTGGTGTGACTGGGCCTCTTGTCTATTTCCTGTATCATATCCACCAGAACAATGGGCATTGTCCATGGGCGATGAGGTGATGCTCCTACTTAGAAAATTCTTGAGCCACATTTTTCCAGAAAGCTAATCTTGAAATCAGAATCTGTTGGACCTTCAATGGACACAGTTTCAAAGTGAGATGTAACTTTAAAAACAAACAAACAAACAAACAAACAAACAAACAAAAGAGCCCTGCCCAGTGGCACATGCCTGTTAATCCAGCACTCTGGGAGGCAGAGGCAGGCGAATCTCTGTGAGTTCAAGGCCAGCCTGGTCTACAAAGTGAGTGCAGCACAGCCAAGGCTACTCAGAGAAACCCTGCCTTAAAAAAAAAAAAAAAGGAACTCCTGACAGCTGACTATGGTGGACAACAGCTGTGTAACACGCTGGTCTTTGACCTTCTCTGGGGCCAGGAGCAGCCCTCACTGGCCTGAGGAAGTGGTCAGAGAGCAAGCAACTCTGTATTGCATTTTCTTTGCAGGATGGAGCCCTCTGCAGCTGAGCGAGCACAGGGGCTGGCCATCACCACCCCCGCCCCCATCACTAACAAAAACACTTACACAGGGCAGATGAGGAAAGCTCTACCAGTTGAAGTTTGAAAATAACTTGAGGGAAGTAACTTAGCCCCCCACAGTGCTGCTAGAGACGGGATAGAGCTGGAGCTTTCTTCCTGAGTCTGTTTGCCCTGTAGAAGCCTCTTCACTCTTGGTGGGCTTCCTGGGGTTCATTTGATTTTATCTATATGTCCTTTATTAAGATTTTAATATTTTAAATTGTGTGCATGCCTCGTGTGTGTGTGTGTGTGTGTGTGTGTGTGTGTGTGTGTGTGTGTGTGCAGGTGGCAGCAGAGGTCAGAAGAGAATATAGGATTCCCTGGCGGTACAATAATGGACAAGTGTGAGTGCTCGGAACCAAAGTCCCGGTCTCTGTAAGAGCAGCAAGTGCTGTTAGCTGCCAAGCCATCTCTTCAACCATGCATACGCCTTAAAGTAGTAAAAGGGAGGCCAACACAAAAGGAATGCACACTGCTATTGTCCCAAGTCTGTAGGACAGCTCTGCGCTCTGTGTTCCATTCCATTCAAGGTCCCCTAGGTAGAACCAGGTAGAGAGCAAACTGTGGGACTTCTAGCTGAAACTTCGCCATGTAAATTTGACCAGGGCAGAATGGCTAGGGCAGACTATCAGCTCTTTCCCTGCAGATCCCAAGGAATGCAAATCTTGGGCTTATTCTTATCTTTTTTCAAACTCCCACCTCATCCTTACTGCCCTCTAACACTTCAGCTGGCTCTGTGGTTCTCAACACCTGATAACTGCTTCCTTCACGCCTACTGTCATGAGACAGAGGTAAAGGACTTCCCCCTCCTCTTTTTAATTGCAGTCACTGATCCACCAAACAAACAAAAAAGCCCAATGCTGACATAACTACATCACTGAGCAAAATATAAAACTGACACGGAAAGAAAATGCAAAATGATTAAGTCATTATACCGTCATGCAAATTGCATTCCTGATATGTTGTCTTTTGAATGGGGAGGAGAAGGAGAAAGGGGATGAAATGACAGAAAAAACAAAAGGGTAAAGGGCAAAGCCATAGGACAAGACCAAGGACTCAGTCGCTGACCCCTGGGCAGACTGCCCTAGGAAGTATTTTAAATTTGTACTATTCTGTACATGTCTTCATAATGTGCTTTATGTGGGCACACATGTGGAAGTCAGAGGACACTCTCGTGAGGTTGGTTCTTTTTCCCACCTTCTATAGGTTCCAGGGATTAAACTCAGTATGCCCAGCTTGCACGGTGAACAATCAGTCTCCTGTCCTTCCACAGTGCCATTCTGCTGGCCCAGAAAGCATTAAAAACAACAACAACAACAACCAAAAGAAAGAACCACAGCTGGACGGTTGGTGGTAGCGCACACCTTTGGGCCCTGGCAGAGGCAGGCAGATCTCAGTTCAAGGCCAGCCTGATCTACGGAGAGAGTTCCAGGACAGCCAGGGATACAAAGAAAAACCCTGTCTCAAAAAAAAAAAAAAAAAAAAAAAAAAAAATCCCAAACAACCAAACAAGAAAAACCCCACAAATATTTGCATTCCTTCCCTTTCAGTCTTAACTACAGACAGCTGCTTCAGCAGCAGAAATCATTATTTAACGTGCACTCGAAGCAAAAGAAGTTAACTAAATCAAGGACCTGGCAGAAGCCAGAGAACTGGGGAACTCAACTATTGACCCAAGGTTCTAATTGTAGTACTGGTCAGAGGATGGTGTGTATATGTACACATGCCTCGGAAAATGTATCCGTGGGAGTCATCCGAGGATTCTGGCACCAGTGAAAACTGTTAATTGGCCTTTTGATTAAAAGCCACTAAAATGTCAGGTTACCTGCTAAACACGGAATATAAAAGGAATGAGTCACCACCGATGTGGAGCTTGAGTTTCTCTAGGGCGAGGGAAGAATTTTCTAATCTTATTAAACAGCTATTTTCTCTTACATTAAGAAACAAAACAAACGAACAAAACCAAGATCCTCAAAACTTTGAAACTGGTGATTTGTGTGCACAAATCAGACTGTTACTCCTCCGAAGCCATTCCCTGCCTTTGTTTCTTTTCTTAGAGTACCATAATTGAAGCTTGGGACTCAAACATGCCAGGCAAGCTCTCTAGCACTGAGCTCACTTTGGTTTTTTAAAGCAGTCTGTGTTTGGGATTCAGAGTTAACTCATTATGCTGGCTAGCAAGCCCCAAGGACGCTCTGGCTGGTCACCTTCTCGGAAGTGCTGGGATTGCAAACCCTTTCCACAGGATCTGGGGCTTGAATCAGTCCTCCTGCAGGCACAGCAAGCGCTTTACCACTGAGCTCTTTCCTCAGCGTTATTTCCCTCTTTTAAACTTTTCTCTTTCGTTTCCACTCTGCCATAGACTGGGGATGGGGAGATCCTTTTTGCACTTATGTCCAGATATTTTTTTTTTCCCCCTCTGCTTCATCCTCTTCTTTTCTGACCCTAAATGCTGTTTATCAAGCGGCTGCTGCTGGGGAAGGGAGAAGAGCTTGTAAGTCCGTGGGGAGTCACTTCTTCCTCTCTTCAACAGCTATCATCAGCTTCTGTGGCTCCCACTTCTGCAAGATGAGGAGAAGGCCGCTTCCTACGGTGACTAACACAACTGATGAGACGCTTCATTTCTGTCACCCTGAAGCGTCCACTCGGTCCAGGTGCTACAGCCCCACTCTAAATGACACGAAAACTACACTGCTGCAGGAGGATGTTTCTATGTCGGGGGGGGGGGGGGCGGGGGGGGAGAATGAGTCACTTTCTACTCGGTCTCTTTCTAGAACCTTCCACAGCAGCAGAGTTATCATTAGCAAGTTGGCCTCTCCCAGTCTACAGAGCCCATGACAATAATTTTACCCCCTGGAACAGAGTTGTCGTGGGGGTAGTGGTTTGCATTTCACGGAAACAATAATTTCACTCGGTCTCTGGAAAACACAGTTTGGCTCTGGTGTGGTGAGAGTGCTTATTTTCTTTCACGCTGACCCAGGGGCCGTTCCAAAGTTCGGAAACTTCCCTCACCACCAATGGGTTCACAGCTACGTCTGGAAAGGTCTTTGTCAGCAGGTAAAGGAGTATTCAGAGGATCTTTGTCTGCTGCAGCAGGAGGAACTGGTTTTTGGTAACTGGTTTTGTAACATGGGAAAGCTGGCTGCCCTCCTTGGGAAGCGCTGCCTTTAGGCCGCATCTGCCTCCTTCCCCGCTGCGCTCACCTTGCCTCGACAATAAATCCATCTCCCCTGGTTTTAATTCCAGAAACGCCTCGTCCTCGAAAATGACTCTACTCCGACAACGGGCATGCCCCGTGCTGCCTCTGGCTAGACCTCACTTTTAAGGCAAATAAGCTACTTTAATTTGGGCTCCCAAGTGGAAATAACAGATAGTCATCAAGAACAGAGGGCGCTTGCCTGGGCTTGCTCAAAAAGTCCCAGAGTACAATGGGTGCAGCTGTCTCTAGGCTCCCTGCACACATTAGCAGGAAGCTTAATTCTGTCAAACATTAACCCCATCCTGGAGGCTTTTGTTTAGTGGACAAAAATGAATGAGGGTAGAAGGTAAAAGGAGAGAGAAAAGTGTAGCATCCTCAAGGTTTGTGTTCAGTCTCCAGTCACACACACACACACACACACACACACACACACACACACACACACACAGTCGAGGGTGGTGGAGGGGGGGACAGCAAGGGCTGGAAGGCAGCAAGCCAGAAGAGATGACAGATGAGTCAGGCGGCAGCAGGAGGGGAGAAGGTATCAGTGAACCTGAGGAATTCAGCCAAACTCAAGCTGTGGGGAAGATCACCAGCTGTTCCTCCATGGCTGATGGGCTCTCTCAGAACCATCATTCTTAGTGACACAGGAAAAAAAAAATAGAATTACCAAATGAAACAAGTCTGTGTAAAAAAAAAAAAAAAAAAAAAAAATCATATGTGAGCCAGCTGAGGTCATCCAGCACTCAGGAGTCTGAACGAAGCAGGAAGACTGCTGTAGGGTTAAGATCAGTGTGGGCTACATGGTGAGTTCTGGGCCACTCTGAACGACAGAACAAATAAATATCCCCAGCTGGTGCGCAGAGCTACTCCTTAAAAAAAAAAAAAAAAAAAAAAGTTTTGTTTTGTTTATTTACACTTATTTAGTTTGTGGGTATAGTCTTGCCAAGAGTAAAATGTAGAGGTCAGAGGGCAACTTGTGGAAACCATTTCTCTCCTTCCAGTTATGGGTTCCAGGGATGCAGCTCCGACATCAGTCATGGCACCAGGTGCCTTTCCACTCTCAGACATCTTATCTGCAGCCCCAACGCCCGATGGTCCTCTTTTGTGTTTATGTTTGCATACATATCCAGAATGCCATAAATATTTTTCCTTTGTAACCTGGATGGCGGGGCTGTAGGGATATCTAAATAATGTTCTCTTGGCTTTAGATTATTTTATTTAATGAATATTTTTAATATCTTTTTAAAAAGTAGTTCAAGGGATATTGAACAGTGAGGAGAGGACCAGGCCTGGTGGGGCAGGCCTATTACCCCAGCCCATGGAAGGTAGAGGCAGGGCGATCAGGAGTTCAAAGTCATCCTCAGCTACATAGTGAGTTGGAGACTAGGCTGCTGTACATGAGAACCTGCCTCAAAATGAGGTGGGAGTGAGAGGAAGGGACAGAGAAAAATATTTTGTGGGAGGAAGGGAATGACATTTTCTGAGTTGCATTGTGGCCCAGATATTGAATTCAACTATGCACTCCCCAGTGTTAATTGCCTGTTTTGTGCATTCCATGGCTGTTTCAGTAATATCTACAGGGTCTTTTTGGGGGGCGGGCATTGACACAAGATCTTCTATTGCCTATGCCGGCTTTCAATTTATAATCCTCCTGCCTCTGCCTCTTGAATGCTGGCATTACAAGTGTAGATTACCACAGCCAGCCCTTTTAGTATTTTTTAGTATTTGATTATTAACTCTTCAGAGCTGTATTGCTTAACTAGAAGTGCAGAGTGAGATCAACAGAAACTTTTATAAGATCTCCTAGCCAGAGCCTCTCCTGCAGAAGCACTGATTTAGACAGACTGCATGGTTTGATTGCTGACATCTAGCAAAGCCTGTCTGAATGTTAGCTTCATCCTGGAGGAGCATTCCACAGTGTACAAAATGGTCCACCAGGGTCCTAGAGCAAGTATCGAGATCTGTTTTATTTCCTGTTCTAAAACTGTCTACCTGTATATATTAAACTGTATAGATATTGATATGATTTTTATAACTTGAAAACAAACAAGTAAATTTACATATCTAAAGGTATGTTAAGATATTTTTCTTATGCTCAGGGTGATGTTGAGGCTGCGGCAGCAGGAAAAGTTGAAAGTTTGAAAAGTTGAAAAGTTGAAAGCCTTCCTGGACTGCCTAGTGAGTTGAAGGCCAGCCTGGGTAACTTAGCAGGACCCTGTGTTAAAATAAAAACAGTTGGGCAAAGGCTATGCTCAATGGTAGAGGTCTTGCCTAAGATACACAGTATTTGCACCTCAGTACACACAAACAAAGCTAGCTTTTCTTATAAGAATGCATGATCCAGAACTCCAGGGACAGTCGCTCCAGGGGACTTACTACATGCTGAAAGTTCATGGAACTCAACTCAAATCCTTCCCCGCTGGCCGAGGTGACAACGAGGAGGGAAGTTTTACACTGTTGATCATGACTCACCGTGACCTAGTTTGCTTCCTGCTATGGGTGTGCTGTTTTTTATTACTCTAGTGTCATCATTTATGGGCAGATTACCTTCCCAGGTAGGCTCAGCTGTCTCCTCTGTAGAGACACATGCACATACTTGCAGCTGCTACAGGGATCCAATTGTGGGAAGCCCTGAAGCCCTGTCATTATTTCTTCCTTCTTATGTTCTTTGCAAAACCAACTAAGATAGTCCTAACGTTAGAAGCAAAACAAGTCACAACAATTAATAATTAGTGACTAGATAGTGAGTAAAAGCTGGAATAGAAAAAGAGTAAAAGGTTACTCTCCTGATCCCTAGGTAAGCATGGAGAACATAATGAACACACATGTATGACTCATTTCCCTTACGAGAAGAGGGGAAATGCTAAGTTTTTTAACTTTACCACCACCGCCCTTTATAAGTCAGGGTCTCTCTGTGCAGCTCCTGCCGGCTTGACGTAGCTATAGAGAGCAGGCTGGCCTGGAATTCTCAGAGATGGGATTGCCTCTGCTTCTTGGGAGTGCTTCGCTTAAAGAGCTGGGCCACAACACCCAGACAGCAGCAGATTGGTTTGCAGGGTTGGTTAGTTGGTTTGAGACGGGATACTACTAACTTGCCCAGGCTGGCCTTGAACTTGTGATCCTCCTGAATCAAGCTGCTTAACACTGAATTTTCAGGCATGTTCTGTCATGCTCCACAGCAATAGAATTTTGAAAGCTGGAAGGCAAGAAATGTGGCCACTGATAGCAAATGTGGGAAAACTGAATCCTAAGTCAGCACCAGAGCATTTTAAGAACCCAACCAAAGTCCCACAAGGCTCAGCTCCAGACAGTTCTGGCAGTGAGGTGGAAATGTGGAAACCAGGAGTCACTCAGAAGCTGCTTAGGAAGCAACTAGACTCCCAGACACCTGCCCTCTCTGTAGATCTGGTCAGTGACTGTGTTCCCAGAGAACCTAGAAGAGGTGAAGACGGGGGTAAGAAGTGGGCTGCTTTCCCGGTCTGTTTGAGTTGTGTGCTTTGAGTCTCTCAGAAGAACTGGATCTCCCCCAAGAGGAAAAAATTTAGAGGCCCTCATGCCTCTAATTCTCCAGTCAGAGCATACAGAGGGACCTCTGGCCACAAGCCCCAGAGCATCCATTAAGCTCATTAGTGCCCGTTGCTAAATGAGAATGGTAATATATCTGATGTGGACAAGATTTTTGCATGAAGTACAGAGACAAATATGAACAGGAAAACAAACAGCAAAATGCAGCCTGAAGGAGGGGGGGTTGCTTCTAACAAAATCTCAATCACTTGATTTTACCAATAAAGACTCAGGAGGAAGATGTTGGGGTGAAAGCCTGCTAGCTCAGTAAGGCAGAGAAGGCACCCAGCTGATCTTCTTACTCCTCCTCCTCGAAGCATCATCATCATCATCATCATCAGCAGCAGCAGCAGCAGCAGCAGCAGCAGAAGAAGAAGCCTCCTTCCCAACACCATCTCAAAAACCCCTCAAAACTGACTGTTCTTCCATTCTACTTTCTGTTCTGTCCTGACTTCCTCTCACACTTTGTTTTTTTCCATGTTCACTCCATATCCACTGGTTGCTTGCTGAGCCTCTTGACCTATGGTTTATCTAATCCTGTCTTGGCTTAAAGGTATGTGCTAGGGCTGAGCCACACCATAACTAGAAAAGAGAGTTTTCTAATAGACAACACAATCTCAGGGTTCACAATGTGATCAAATATCCTGCAACAGACGGGAGCTAGAGGTAGAGCCTAGTGGCACATTGTGTCTGAGACCCTAAGTTCAGCCCCTACAACAAACTGAAATATAGTAAAAAGGAAACTGCAGGTTTACAAAAACTTTAAATACCCTCTGGCTTGTACTCTTAGTTAAACACAGAACCATCAAACAGGAACACAATAAAGGAAAAAGGAATGCTCAAGGGAATCGTAAGAATTCTTAGAAATACAGCACAAGCAAAAAAAAAAAATTAATAAAAGTTAGAAAATAAAGAACACATCTCTCTGAAGTTGAAGTAAAAGAGGGGGTGGGGGAGAACAAATGAAAGATGAGAAAATCAAAAGACTAGAACTGCTAATATACTCAAATGGGAATTCCAAAAGGGGAAGAAGAACAGGAATCACTACAGGTGGTCCCCACGACGCGTTCCAAACACACATTTCTGAACTGAGAGAACACCAAACGCTGGCCATAGAGCTTGGCCCGACACGCTTGGGAGAGCTTAGAACATGGAGCGTAAGGAACGGCTGTGAGCGTCCAGAGAGAAGAAGCTGTGCCTGCTGGGGGTTGGAAGTGCTGCGGACTTCTCCCCTGTAACCCCCCAGCCAGACAGCAACGATTTTCCCCATCTTCCCGTTTCTCAGGGCAGATGCCTCCAATTTGGGTTTTTATTCCTCATATCAGTACACTGTGGTGGTGAGTTCTCAGTGCGGACTTAGAAGGTTTAGATTCACACCACTTGTCTGTGAGGGTTGGTCCGGAGAGGGTTAGCTAAGGAAGGAAGTGCCACCCTCAGCGTGTGGGGCGCCATCCATAGGTTGGAGTTCTACGCAAGTGAAAAGGAGAAAGTCAAACGGGGCGCCAGCATCCATCTGTGCTCTGACCGTGAAACACACTCTGACCAGCGTCCTTGCTTCCGCACACTTTCTCAAGCTGGAAGACAAAGATAAACCCTTTTTTTTTTTTTTCCTGAGGTTGATTATTTTTCGGGGGTTTTGTTTTGTTTTGTTTTGCTTTGCTTTGCTTTGGGTTTTGGCATAGTAATCAGAAAGCTAACTAATATGGAAGCCACCAAGTTGAAGAGTACATTGAAACGTTTTTGGACACACCTCAGAAAGGCACAACACAGGCTCCTGCCTTAGGAAATCCCCCAAGCACGTGCCAAAACAATGAGCCAGGAAAGAGGGCAGCTGCGGTCAACCAGGAGGAACGCAGGAGGATCTCTG